GTACACTCCAACGATTAATTGATTTATATTCTAAAGAACAGTTTTTAGTCCAGATGATATCATATTAATTCTTAAGAATATCTATGTAATTTTTGTTACTAAAATATTAGATTTGAAAGTACATTGAAGTATGTTACACTGTATATTATAAGCTACTTAACCATGTAATATTTGACAGTACTTATAACTATCAAACTTATGTTATCTGATTTAAGTAACTATAGGGGTGCTTTAAAATATCTATTTTTTTTTATTATTATTTGTTCAGCAATGTTTCAATCATGAATGAGCACATTTTTAATATATATATTTTTAAATACATTTTATACCGCCCAATAGGATTTATATTACGTAACTTATTGGTACTAAAATTCTAATATATCAATGTACTTTAGTTATATACGTAATAAGTGATAGTATTAGCTTAATTAATAATTAACATTTGTGAAATTGGTTTGGTGTTCGATAATTCGTGTTTCACTGTTTGCTTTAAATGCTTTGAGTTTTTTTAGTACTTAATTTAAATTATGGGATCTCTATGATGATTAAGGTTTTTTTTATTTATATAGGTTATTTTTATAACTTTATGTTGACTATCACTGCCATTTAATCTTAGAGGTGTACCTGAGATGAAACTGAGATATTCCATTACCCACCAAAATACACACACACACTAACTGTATTATATATAATATTCAAACGTAACACCCAACTGTTATGGCCTCCGTTTTCTCTTTTTCGCAATAGAATAAAGTATGATTGGAAATACACAAAAAAAAATCGATTTACGACTTTATGGAATAAATATAAAAACTTATATTTATTCGATAAAGTCGTAAATCGAATTTTTTATTGTTTGCACTGCTAGTTAATTAAGTTTTTATGAAACTAGCAGTGCAAAGACAGAGTACCATTGACTTCACGGAGAACGTAAATGGAAATATTTCTTAAAACATTTAACGCGTTCCGACGTGATTGGATTTTGTTTAATGTGACATCACACTACCCTAGAAAAGAGAAAGAGATAATTGATGCACTTTAGATAGGTTAGTTTAAATCATCACAATACACGTACCAACTGAATATATTAACAAAACCGATTGTATATTTTTGAGAAGTGGCCCATATGCCACTGTAAAGAGACAATAACAATTATGTACATACATTACAAATGGACCATCGCCATTTTAATTAACAGAATGTAAATTCTGTGACATTTTTTTATTTAAAATGCTGGTTAGAATGCTTCTCCGCAATTTACGAGACCATTTAAACATAATTTTAGGTATCTTTATATTTTTTTTCTGTAGGCGAATTTATTAAATGAAGATGTGGCAAAAATACAGTTTGTAGAACACTATGCTTAATAAACAATGTAAATGTGTAGACGAATAGTCGCCATAATATAATTATAATGATAAAAACAAATCAATACATGCTTATCTCTATTTTGAGCGTTCCTTTTGTCACTTAATGATATGATTTTAGATAACGGACTGTTTATCAGGTTATATATTTATATTGTTTTTATACTTTAGTTCATGCTTTAATCATAAGTGTATTTGTACCGGTATTAAATGTTTATATTTTGTGTTATGTATGTACTGGTCAACGTCATAATTCATCGCCCAAGATGATCAAATATGTTAAATGTTGAAGTTCAACGATATCTAGGCAATCAACGTTGCATATTAGGTACACATGTGATCAAAATGTTTTGGCATGATTACTTCAAATATATCTACCAACTAACAACTTATTTCGAATCGATTTGTTGTAGTTAGTACATAAACTTGAAGTAATGGTCCCCAAGATATTTTGATCATCGAGAGATCTAAGCAGATCAAATGCAACTTTGGTTGACTAGATATAAATGGACATCTATCTGTTAAATCGCCTTAAGCCCTTCGATGGTGATTATACCGAAAACCACCAGCATGGCAACTAGTAAAGATTACACATCGGAGCTATATTGCACTGTGTCAATCAATCATAAAATATAGTGTTGTCCTTGCTTTTGGTACCAATTATTTTTATTATTTCTGACCGGCAATACTTGATTGTAGTTATTAACTATTTTACTCGAAAAATACCTTAAAATTTTTAATTTTAATTAACACAAAATGCCATTAAATTATAAACCTTCTGTAAAACTGAATTGGTGTCGCGTATAACGGACTATATTGTACTTAATAATTACGACTGATTTATATTAAATTATAATATTGAAATAGTTTTTCATTCAAATTTATAAGTTATCCCACCTTATATGCAACTTTTTGCAGCCAGAATTCAGTACTAGCACATAGTTAACGAAGTTTTTTGAACTCGTCTTTTGGAAATTAATGATGCTCTTCCTGTCTTACATTGAAATGAGTATATTGCAATAATGCAACATACTAGTATCGCTTGATAAAGTTATACTTAATCATAAAATCGAAATGTATTAAATTTCTACTATTCACTACCACTCTATATCTATAAATGACGTTTGTACGTTTACTTACATAAAATGTTTACCTACCTTACTACACATGCTGCAATCATGCAGTAATGTGTCCTATTAGTTAGAAATCGCTAGTATTAATCCTATGGTTAGAGTTTAGGCGACCACATCCCTGGCGGAATCCCTGAAAAGGATCAAGATTATTACGGACAAGGAAATCATTGTCAGCGGATTTGGATGGAAAATCCAAGTCGGCGCTGTCATACTTAGTTATAACTTTCGTCGTAGAATATTGTGTCAGACTGGCAGTCTCTTCGATTTTAAAAAGAATTTTTGGTCCCTTATCAGTTCGTTATGAAATAGGAACAAATAGCAACGTTACATGGTTTTAAGAGACTTTGTGGCTCTGCTGGGCTGACGTCAGAAGTGCCACGACTGATGATGTCTGTACTTATAATTAATTCAAAAAAGCAGGGTTATATTAAGTCCCTAATTGAACAGTCTGGGACAAAGCGGCGTTAAAAAAGCCCATACTTTTAGGGATAATTAAGAAATAATGCCTGCCATGTTCAAATTTCTTAACATTATGATAACAAAACCTGGTGGGTGGGGTCAAGACAGTCGAAATTAATTCTTCTGCTGCTAGAGTCCACGTCACCCTCGCAATCCGCCGCCCCGGGACATGGCCCTGTGGTAAGTACGCCCTGGCATAAGAATAATTAATTATAAGCTTTTGCTAGACTGTTGTCCCAAATTGTTTTTGTCAATTTTCCGATTTTAATATAATTCGAAATAAAATCCATAAATTTGGCGTGAAGAGTTTATTTTTTGGCCCATTTTAACAACAATATATTTTTTATAGATTAAAACAACATAAATTATTAAATACAGAATATATCACACTGCCAAATCTTTTCAGTGCTTTATGAGCATGATTAACTAGAACTGAACAATATTTATAAACATTTATTTATTATGATATGCCTTTGTATACCGCCTGTGTAAAGATGAGAAGAAAGTATCCAGTTTGATGGTATTTCAACTGTATTTAAGGTAATTGTTAATTCTTATTCCACTCCAATATAATAATTTTGTGCCCTAATTAGGTACCATTTTAAGTTATCATGAAGACACACTAAAATAACAAACTTATGCCATACATCCAGTCAGGAAGACTAAGCAAAAGAGCATCTCATCTGCAATCCAGTGCAATGGATTTAATTTAAATCGTAATAAGTCCATATCACAGATTTATCTAAAATAACAATATAATAAACCTTGTACATGAAATTTATAACCCAATCAGTATGAGTCATAAATATGTAAATAATTATTTATATTAGATACTTTCCAAAACACATTAGGTTTGTTGCCAATATTAAATTGATTTCATAATTTAATGAGAATCATGTTTCTGTAAATGAGAATTACAGATTTTTACCATCAGGTGATATTCGATTATATTTAGGCAGTATTCACAAACTTTAAAATATTTTCATTGAAGGATATTTGATGTTACAATGACCATCACTCTTCACTTGACATCCACAAATTTAGTCCCCAGAGAGCAGTAACGAATTATTACATAATTGAAAATAAAATGCTCTCTAACAAAAAACACCCCCAGATAAAACAATGCACTGTGTCTGCAAGCTGTAACAGAACAGCCCATTGCCTCATCTTGTTTTTAGTCACAGTTCCCTTTGCCTCATTTTACACATTAAACTCGAAGTGGGCAAGCAAATCACAGTAAGAATGTCTACTAAAATATGTTGGTCAAATGAGGAAAAAATAAAATACCTCTACATTTTCACAAGTGTTGCCTGCCAACCCCTTAATGATTTTGATATTATTAGGGCTGTGACTGATGCCGCTTTGTATATATTAAAATATATGAGATTCTCGATTCAAGGAATGATATGAATTAACTTTAAATCATACAAGTTATAATTTCGGCACTACTGCAGGATAAAGTTTAATTCATGCAGAAAAATGTGAGCCAAATGCTTAGCTCACTTTGATTCAAAGTTCATCCACATCATACAAACCAAGACAAAATACAGCTTAAACAAAAAGAAACACTGTCCCAAGCGACCAAGAACAGCATTATTGACGCGGAAGTTAAGACACATTATCGAAAAATTTAGTTTGAGCTAGACTACAAACCTACCCACATTACAATATGACCGAACATTTTTTTAAACAGTTAAAGTAAAAGTGGTGCTAGCTCAACTTTCTAAAACATGGGCAGGTTATTTTTGTTATCTGTAGAGAGTCTACCACAATTTATGTTAAGATCGTAGACAAATCTAGGTAGACTCTCACAGCTGGTATTCAGATAAATATTTTATGTTTTAACAATGGAGAGACACGCACAGTATCCAATATGGACAAAGGACGCGAAAAGCTCTCTACGAGTCCCGATGTTTCGTTTTATATACACTTTTAAAAAAGTAACCATTTCAGGTTAAGTCTTATTTCACGATAACTATTTACACTCACATTTTGTTATAATAAATTCATTACACTTTTTACAAATAAGTTTTTTGTTTTTGTAGTTTTAATCTAATTCCATTCACCAGTCAGCAAGTCCAGATAGTGTCTAATTGCACCGAGCGCGTGAGTAGAGCGGCGCGGCGTTACTAGTCAGCCTCGTCGTCGGGGCGCGCCACGTACAGCGCGGGATCGATCGACTTCGGAATCGGCTTTATCTCAGTACCCAACTCCTGCTCAATACGATGTAAAGCGAACCGATCCTCGTACGTGATTAGATTGATCGCAATACCAAGGTGGCCGAACCGCCCCGAACGCCCGATGCGATGCAAGTAAGTTTCCGCCATGCGCGGGAAGTCGAAATTGATTACCACATTCACCGCCTGCACGTCTATGCCTCTAGTGAACAGATCGGAACATACTAAATTGCGGCACAGCCCTGCGCGGAAATCGTGGAACACCCGGTTACGATGCGCCTGCGCCATACGGGCGTGAATATAATAGCAGCAATATCCCAATTCTGTTATCTTCTTCGCCAACAGTTCTACACGCTGGGTTGAATTGCAGAATATAATAGACTGGTTTATTTGTAACTGTAACCAAAGATGAACTAGTTAATTTTCGAGTTCATGCATAATTAACTGGATAATTAAGTTATTATAATGACTAATATTACCTTTGAGAATAATGTATTTAGGCAATGAACTTTCTGTCTTTCTTGAACAAATGCATAATATTGTGTGACACCCTTCAAAGTCAATTCCTCCATGAGGTTAATTTCGTAGGGCTCTCTCAGGTGCTTCTCCATGAACTGCTTAACACTCAATGGGAAAGTAGCTGAAAATAGCAAGATCTGGCGTTCTTTGGGTAATCTGGAACAAGACAATAAAAAATTAGTTATTTCTATTATTTTTTAAATTATTTACCAGTTTGTCTTCATATTGTTTTTTAAACATTTTATTGTGTAAAAAGTATAGTCCAAGCAAAGATGTCACTATGAAACAATTAATTTTTAATTATAGTGACATCACTATCAAATAAGTAGAAAATTCTTAATTGTCAGATATTGATTACCATTGTTATATTTAAAAACTAAAATATGCACATTTTAAGCACAAAAATTAACTAAATGCAATCATAAAACAAATAATATACAAAAGGCACAAACAAATGTCATCTCATCTGGGTTATTTTTGTAACACTGATGAGATTTCACATAACCGGTAATTGGATAGTACCACAACTAGTAATTGAAACGTCTACATTGTCTATAGTGACACAGAAATGACGGGCCTTTGTTAACTTTACTACATGACTGTTAAGTCTTTTTTTCTAATAATTAAAACTGCTTTTTTTCATACATTTGTTGTATGAATTCATATTTCTGTATAGTATACTAACTACCTACCATATAAATTAATATGAACGAAAATATGTTTCTTTACCCCCATTCTATATCAATAGAGTAGTGTCCTACAAGTGACATAAAAGATTTCTGTTATTTGATGAGAAAATATAAACCTTTTAACTTATTAATATTTAACAAAATATTTTTTTATGATACTAATTTGGAAACTTGAAAAAAGCAGGGCAAAAATATATTACAAAAATTTGCTATAATACATATGACATTAAATTAGTAACATAGAATGTAACAACTTTCATTATAACAGCTATAAACAGACACATAACAAAGATTGCCTAGATGTTTTCTGTTATTGTACTGTGACGTCACCTAGTGGCTTGAATTTGTAGCGAGCGTTTTCAGCTCACTAGCAGTAGTTGCATTAACACAGCACCCTATCTAATATAATCACAAACATGCAGTTACATTACAGTTAAACAAAACATTAGAGTTTGGGCTTGTTAGCCTTGACAAGAGGTTTTCTATTTAGAATATGGTCTAACAAAAGCTTGTTCACAAAAACAAAAATAAGATTCAGCTCCAAAATCACAATATGATTAATTCATACAATAACAATAAATAACAAATAAATGAAAAGAAAATAAGCTTACCTCGAAATAACCATGTCCAACATTCCTTTAAAATCTTGAGAAAGAAGTTTATCTGCTTCATCAAGGACCAACATCCTGCAGTGTTCCATCTTGGCAACTTTCTTATCCATGAGATCAATCATACGACCTGGCGTCGCAATTATAACTTGAACTGCAACAAAACCCTTATAATTGAAAAGAACAAATCCAAACCAATGACCTTTAAGGTTCAAAAGTACATCACCTCTATTGAAAATGCTTTTTTTTAATAAATAAAAAAAAACCCTACCCCTTATGAATACTAATGCTCTCGCTGCTTATCTGTGACAGGGCTGTCTACCCTGTTATCTAAGTTTAATCCAATGGAAATTCTAATAAATCCCTAGTTTTGAAGTCAAAACTTGTTACAATAAATGTTCTATTAACTCATTGCAAAGGAGAATGGACAAAAGTCGGCTAAAATTACGCATTTAGAATTTATGATGAATTTATTTATCAAAAATCTTTTCTCTAATTATAATATATTCTATATAAATACCATTTTAAAATTATGTGGCGTTTAAAATAAGCTGTATTAAAACAATTGCTAAACTTACTAATTTATACTAATGATATGGCCTTGGATAAATGTCAACCATGCAACAATAGACTCGTTAACGCTGATCGCTTTATCAATTATAGAAAACGAACGGATTAATCTACATACAAAAAAAAATTGATTGTTTTATTACTGGATTGAGTACTGCGAATTGGATATTGATAATTGTTAATTAACCATGAGTTTTCATGGAAGAAGAAACATTATGCGTGTTATACATAAATATAACAAAATGTTTGGTATTATACATAAATATAACAAGATTTCTTTAGATAAACACCTGAATCTTAAGATTGCTAGAGTTATTTGTTATAATATGTTCTTTATCGGTGAGTATATATATACCTAACTTCTTGGTTTCAACAATGTGCATTGTTATGCAAAAATAGCCAAACTCTGATAGTAAATTGCCCATTCTCCTTTACACTCAGCCTAGTAAAGGTATGATGAAAACAACAATTATAAAAAAAAACGACATCCAAGATCATTGTTAGATCATGAACTTTACCTATGTAAGAAAAGGACAGAAATAATGATACTGCTACTATTACTTGAATTAATAGTAGTTTCTATAAAATAAGTTTGTTCTCACCGTTTTGATAAATGCGCATAATGTCATCTCGAAGGTTTGTGCCTCCTGTAGTCACCATCACACGTATGTCTGTGTGCTTTGCCAGTTCTATACATATTTGTGATGTTTGAAGTGCTAACTCTCTTGTTGGTACCACAATTAAAGCCTGAATACAATCTTTTTTAGGATCAACCTGCAATATTAAAATAAGCTTTATTCCATTATGGGAATTACAAAATAAAAAAATTCTAAATATAAATTATCTATATAATAGACTTCCAAAATAATGTGTAAGTAAATATAAAGATGTTACTTAAAAATTGACATAAATATATTACCATTAACAAGACTCAATTTAAGAATATAAAAAAATTACCTGCTCTAAGACTGGAATACAGTAAGCGCCAGTTTTGCCAGTTCCGTTCTTAGCTCTTGCGAGTACATCTTTTCCACTGAGTGCAATGGGGATTGAAGCCTCTTGAATAGGGGATGGTTTTTCCCATCCTTTTTCAAAAATACCCATTAACAGCTCACGTTTCAAGCAGAACTCTTCAAATTCATTACCTCTAGTATCTGTTACATCCTGAAAAATTACATTTCATAAGAATAATGTAATTTGAAAATCGGTAAACTTAAATGGAGGGTAACTGAAGATACTTACACTAGTCTTAATTCTTCTGTCCTTTGGGGGTATTTTTAATTTTGATTTCCAACCGATGTCGTCAATAGTTTTATCGACGTCTCTAAAAAAAGCATTAATATTAGAATATAGATGTATCAACAAAAAAAAAGTGATTTAATTTTTTTTTACATACCCCTTGTTCTGATTGCTCATACTATTTACGACGTGATTAGTTGAACTAATTCTATTTTCGGTCATCATTTTGCCAAACTATCCCACTAGGGATGACTAAAATTAGAAACTTATAATCACAAATCTTTGTCCAAGTCCGACACTAAACAAATTTTACGAGAAGTCACTTTTAGAGACATATGCTACTAGAAAAGCTTATCACGTTCACCAACTTAGGCAGTCCGGGAATATCTGAAACGAAGTTAACAGTTATCAACATCAACGGTACTATTGGAAGATAAACTAGACGCGTCAACAACTATGTCCCAATAAACATACTTATTTAGCACAAACAGAATAACCAAAATAAATAAGAACTAGCATAATTATTAATGGATTAAACAAGAGACTTTATGTAAGGGTAATTTATGATAAAATAATATTAAGAAGATTTGACGATGGAGTAGATAACAACGGATAAGAATTCGTAATAAACAATACTTCAAAAACTCTAATATGGCTGCCGAAATATTTAGTCGAAGTCAAATTAGAAAACTAAAATGCAGTAAAAAAAGGACAACACATTATTGTATGATAAACTAATGCTAACTGCAAAACTTAAATGAAATTTAATCAAATATAATCAGTCAAATATTAGATAAATACCTTGATAAAACTTTACAAAAGACGATACTCGATACTCGACGACGACATCACAAAGTAACCAAAAACAAGATTTGTTTTTTGATTCAGCATCCTAAATTCCAAAGAGCTATAAATATAGTTTATGGCTAAGAGTAATGTAAGTCTATGGTTGAACCATGTATTTAGTAGGTATTTATAACAGGATAGAGTACTTCCAGCTAAAAAGCGGGCCGAACGAAATATCAAGTACAGAGGCTATTTATCTCTTTCCCATCGGGTGACAATAACTTTTTCATGTAGTACTTTGTGGGTGGTTAACATTAAATTTAGTTAAATTAAAATTATACCAATTGTTTTCCTGCGACTGTATATAACGATTACATATAAGGTATATTAGTCTCTATTTTCGCTATCGGAGTTACCAGTTACTTGATTGGTTCCTTACATTCTCACTATAAATGTCAATTATTTTTCTTACCTTTGAATGCCATTTGATATTTTATAAAATTATATTCCACTATAGACCGTTTCACATAGAATGGATACGATAACATTTGTTAACAGTTGATGAATAAATATTATTCTCAAATCCTGTTTTATATGTTGATCTCAAAACCGTTTATTTCTATTAGAAATAAACTCAATAACATCGAGTTTTTGTATCTAAAAACTTCAAACCCCAAACATCATAGTACCCAAGCTATGTGAATAAGACACCGTATTTTTTTTCTAAATTTCCCCATTGTTGTGGTAAATGGCATCCTCAAAAAATGGCAACCTCGTGTGTGTCAATATGGTGAATGACAATTACTAATTTCGTCGACTTGAAAATTGTGATTCATATATAAACGCACAGAACACTTTTACTTATAAACGTTTCTCGCTATCAAATCGTGAAAAATGGTTCAGAAATGTGTAGTCCTACGTTGCGGAAGCAAATGGCATCCTGGATGTTCTTTGATATTTCACAGGAGAGTCGTAAGTTACTACAATTGATGACTGCTTGCATTTTATAAAAATAATGTTTTTAACGTAGAATCCTTAAATTTTTGATAATTTACAATAATATGGTATCTAAAGTAATAAATGATTTAATTCTTTACAGTAGCATATTTCAGAAATTTTCTAATAAAAGCACAGTTCACATTGTAAAATGAAAATAAACAAACACTAATATGGTGACCATGAAAAGAAGATAAAGGATAAACAATAAAACTGAACTTAATATTTTTTATTGTACTTTTAGTTTTCTCAAGGATCTAATAAGGAGAAGTCAATGACTATCAAGTGTCAAATAAAAAAATAAGTTTTATAAAACTGCAAAAATATGCAGTAATTATTTTGTGGCTACTAATTTTCTAATAGAGAATCGGTACAAGCATACAACAATTCCTTTTAATTCTGATGTGGTAAGTAAAAGTCTATATTCTACTAATTAGGTACTAATTCTTAGGTAGCAAAAATAGAATACAAACTTGCGAGTGAGAACGCGAACTTTTGGCTCAACGTCCTTTTTAAGTACGCGTATTTAAGATGACACACAAGCGAAAAAGGTCGTCGAGCCAAAAGTTCACGTTTGGAAGGAATAAAATATTTTTATTTTACTTTATGTAATATGTCATAAAAAATTGTCTCGAAATATCTTAATTTCCTAATGGCAGGGTTTAGACAAAATAACCATAATTCGTTTTTTTTTCCGTACTTAAAAAGAACGCGAACTTGTGGCTCAACGTCCTTTTTAAGTACGCGTATTTAAGATGACAAACAAGCGAAAAAGGTCGTCGAGCCAAAAGTTCACGTTTGGAAGGAATAAAATATTTTTATTTTACTTAATGTAATATGTCATGAAAAAATGGTCTCGAAATATCTTAATTTCCTAATGGCAGGGTTTAGACAAAATAACCATAATTCGTTTTTTTTTCCAGTCGGGACAATCTGATCTAAAAAGTGATGCATTTACAATGCCTTCTACACCTCGTCGTAGGTTGTCCGATAGACTTGCTATGGTAACAATCAAATAGTATTTATTGTCATCAAAACTGTACTTTTTTAGTCACTTATAAATTAAATTTAAAAATAACTTAATGTTATTTTATTTTTATCTGAGAATGACAATTACATCTGAGAATGTAAGAGAAGAATGTGATATGTAAATCAGTAAATTAACTTAAGGGTGAAATATTTACTGGGTGCTTATTCCATTTCAATTCGGTCGGAAGGAAGGTAAGCTGACAATCGTAGTCTGCAGTCTTGTAGTTCACTTTGCATATTAGATCTACTCCGTGCTTTGGAAGGCACGTTAAGCAGTTTGTGTCGAATGTATCTGCAGTTGTAAAAACTCTCCAATCCGGAATGGACCCATTGTGGGTACATTAATAGGCTGGTGATTATTAATAAGTTTTTTGCCAACTCTAATTCCCACACTGATAAGTTTTAATCAAACTCAAAAATTGTTATTTTTTTTATTTGAGAACCCCCTAACGAGACTCATTAAATACTATTATACGTCCGACACAGTAAGGCTAGCAAAACTTTTTTAAATTTCCTCATTCGTTCCCTGAAAATAATCCTTATTTATAAAAACAAATTTAATTATTTTGTATATCTGTGTTTAGGTCAAAGGATGACAAATTTTACAAGATTTGGTCCAGTAGATTCAGAAAGGCTTTTTGTACGGAACTTTAATAAAATTAATTGGCGGAAAATCTAGATTCGATCTATTAATTTCATATGTAAACTTTACATCTACTTAGGAAAATTTGATACTTTTTTTTTGCCTTAATGTTCTACTCTTTAAACTTATCGCCTTTATTTTGTAGTTGTGTGGACACCCTATTAGAAAGAGAGGAGGGGGACCTAAGGAATGAAATAGAAAACATTCAAGGTCAAATTTTTATGCTTCAAGTAGGTATGGAGGAGTTTGGTCTCCAGTTATTTCTTTAGCTTCATGGAAACTGACAAATGTAGGCCACGATGGTGAAGCCGAGGACGATAAACATTAAAAAAAAAAGCTTTTTTTTTATATGACGTTTGACATTGACATAACGTGTGATGGACTATACACCTCGGCCCATAGAATAATAAGTACTCCTAACCTCGGCCAGAATTTATAATATTACTCTTTGGAATTTAACGTGTTCAGTTTTATCAAAAAGTGTTTTATATATATATTTTTGACTGATTTAATGCGTAGAGATTGTTATTGATAATTTAATTAAATTACAAATTTTACGTATTGAATACTTAATATAGTTGAGGGCAGTGCTTAGTTACTTTAGGAAGTGATAAGTCTACTTAAGATAAAATGTAAATAAATAAAAATAAAATATTTGTTATAACAATAAGTGTTGGTATACTAAAAATGGTCATTGATTATGTATACTACTTTGTAACGAATCATGTATATATGAAATTGAAATTGTTAGCTAAAGTTATTTTAGTAGTTGTTCTCAAGACTAAGATTTAAAGTAAAAGTTGAAATTCATTATTTTTTAGTAAAGTATTAAGTATATCATGCTTTAAAAGTATATTAAATTACGTGTATAATACCATGACAGAGACATGAGACATCTATGACCTTAACTCATATAAATTTTAATTCAATTGCCTTTACGAAATGCATTGATTAATTGGTAACCATAGTTAAGATTTATAAAAAAATTATAATTAAGATTTAACATTTTTAGGACCGAATATTGGAAATCACAGGCACGGAAATATTGTGAATTTTGTAAATGTTGGTTTGCTGATAATAAAGTAGTAAGTATTATAAGATGTGAAGTAGGTTGGTTTAATTTTTAATTATTTTCATATACAACATAACGTTTATATTTCAGTCAATCTCATTCCATGAAAATGGTAAAAGGCACAAAGAGAATGTACAAAAGCACATATCACAACTTAGTAAAAAGAGTGCTAAAGAATTCAAACAGAAAGAAAAACTTGATGATGACATGAAGAAAATGGAAGCTGCAGCAATGGCCGCCTACCTTAAAGATGTTCAAAATAATGCAGATTTAACCTCAAAGGTATAATGACTTAGAATAAAATAAGCTCTATTGCATATCAAAAAACCCATACATAAAAACATATACATAAAAATGTCACCATAAAATTGTAAACATTATCAGTCCGTAATGTTACTAGAATGATTATAAAGCCTACTTAAATTTGACAGAAGTGGGCCTGATTATAAACTCAATACATTTACAATTGTGGTGAAAATTTAAAGGGAAAAAGGTGGATATTTAAAAGTCATCAAATAGTGACAGTTGCTCTCTACTTTATTTCTGAAAAAGAAAAAGGTAGTTTTCTACTTATAGTATTTAACTGTAACTAACAGAATAGCTTATCTTAGACAATGGCTACTGGAGTTAGAAAATTATCAGGATTTTCAATAATCAGGTAGATAGGTTGCTAGACAGCTTCTCTGGCTCCTAGAAAATATCCCTTACCATGTCAATAAATGTATAATTCAATAGTAGGGATGATGACTAGGTAAATAATGAAATTTTATTTTGGATAATAGAACAATGAAATTTTACATGTTTTTTATTTGCTTCAATTTAACAAGAAATGTATTAGATAATAGGCATAGCTACATCGCAACTATGTACGTATTCATTAGTATGAAAAAGAACAATGTAGTATACTTGTCTATATTTACTCGAAAGTGTATATTTTTCCATTTACAGAGCATAAATGAGATGCTGGGTCAGTCAAGTAGTACTGATAATATAGTTACAACAGCTGTCGCTCCTGAAACTAAGAAGAAACTACCTGTGTGGCATGAGGTTAAAAACGATGATGCTAGTTCTTATTACTGGAATACTGTCACTAATGGTATGTAATAATTTAAATTATTAAATTTAATGTAGTTCATTCATTTAAAAAGCACTTGTATATATGTGCTATAAATCATCATCATCATCATCATCATCAGCCCTTTTACGTCCCCACTGCAGGGGCTCAGGCCTTCCATATGGATGGTTAAGGAAGATGGGCCATGACCCTCCACGCAGGCCCAATGCGGATTGAAGGGTATTAACGACTGCAAATGTAGCCGGGACCAACGGCTTAACGTGCCTTCCTAAGCACGGAGTAACTCGAGATAATAATTTTTTGGTCACCCATCCCGTGACCGACCCTTGCTAAAGTTGCTTAACGACAAATGATCGCAGGCCGCGGCGCTTATCCTCTACGCTACCGAGCTCCAGCTATAAATTTTACTCTATCTAAATTACTATCTATATTATATAAAGACTTTACTATCTATTTTAGAAACCACTTGGGATGCTCCTGATGAATACTTGTCTGTGGCAGATCAAGAAAAACAAAAATTGAAAAAAAATAAATCAGAGAAAATCAAGGATAAACAAAAGTAAGAGAAAATGTGATTCTAAGTTTTGCAAGCAGTATTCAATATGATGTATTTGTTGAATGTTTTATGTACAGTGAAGCACAAAATTACAATAACATATAATATGGTAGTCGCAGTAGGGAAAAATAAGTCACAAAATTACACAAAAAACAAAAATTCACATCTTAATTAACATAGAGAGTCTAAAAATGGCATCATTTTCTTATTTTCTTAAAATAAATATTGTGACTTAGATGGCGTTGTTCTTAGCTTATTTGTATGTTTTTATTTCGTAATCGATCATTAGATGGCATTGTTCTTGTTTTATTGACATCTTTAGTCTTCTGCTCTATGTATCTGTTTTGTGTGACATGTCAGAATGACGTCTAGAATATGTCGGACGGTTTTCGCGGGAATAAAAAGATTGATTTTTAAAATTAAAAAAAGCACATCCACTAGATGGCGACTCTAGCAAAAGTTGATTTTTGCACGAAACGAATGAACCAAAGATAGTCATTTCCATTTCTTTTAACTTACATTAAAAAACTGAAATTTGCATATTTCGAAACTTCGATATCAATACAAATACGAAAAAGTACAAATAGAATATGTGTTGTTTATTTACTTTTGAAAACTAATTTACTTTTATACATAAAAGAAAACCGGGAGGGTTGTCATGGAGAAATCAAGAAAGTACCATAGCGAGATCTAGTTTGATTTCGGGAACTAATCCTTTTTTTTAAATACTTCCTTATCTTAAGTCAAGAAAACGGGCAAATTTACGAAAGATTTGTTTTGTAGCTTTTTTTAATTAAAATAAACAGTCACAAGTATTATTTCAGAGTAGAATACCCTAATACGGTATAGTATTTCCTAGTCATATCCATACTAATTTAAGTTATGTTATTATTATACCTATTAATAACATAACTTAAATATTCAAGTATATTGATTATTATTTTTTATCGCCTATATTAACATTAAAATATCAATTACATAATGTTTAGTCAGGATGGATATACGGTCGGTTCAATTTTGCTCAACTGGATAAAGTGCATGGTGTATTAAATGGATGGGTGTTTGAACAAATTTTGTTTGGCCTCAAAACAACAGTCACAATGTGCTGCAGTTTTAAAATATCTTAGTTAGTGTGACGGTCTTCCTACATATTTGTTAGACTTGCAACAAATAGTACTCGTATATTCGGCCATATGCCGAATACCAAATATTCGGCGATATTCTTGGCCTAATAGCCGAATATTAGGCATAAGTATTCGACCGATAAGTGGCGCCAAAACTTATATCAACGTGATTGTTTCGCGCTCATTTGTTGTAATGTACTCACCACCCTCTCACCCCAGGCCGCCCGTGCACTGCGTGTTTTGACAAGTTTAGCTCGTGCATATCGTAATTGTAAATACGTTAAGTACAGTTTATACTGCAATCTGCATTTTGATTTGTTTGTAAGTGAAACAGTGGAAGATTCAACAAATAAACAATAAAATAATTACCTACCTACCTTTATAATAATAATCGATTATGGCCACTAAAAAGAAGTCACCTATATGAATATACTTCGAGTCTACTTCACTGATGAAAGTAACCCGGAAAGTGTCCTGCAGGGCATTTCTGTAAAAATACAGACCGGAATTCGATTCACTCATGTGTCCCAATTTACGTCATTTAATAAAAAATTTCCATTGATGATATTTTTTGTTTAAAAATACAAAACAAAATTGATTGATTATACGTGTCTCGGATATTTTATTCCTGACATTTCGAAACTCACTTCACTTATGCCAGGAAACAATTCGAGATTGAGCGGATGCCGCTTTTTGAAGTGAATTCGGACACCTGAGTGAGTTCGGATTTGGATTTGGATTTTTTACAGAATCAGCGCTGATCGATAGTCTAAAGATAGTTGTGAAGAAAAGAGTAAAGAGTCCACTACTGTGGCTAAGAAGATGAAAACTGAAAAGCAAAGTGTAAGCCAGAGAATTCACTCGATTTTTATGGATCGCTTAGAAAAAGTGATAGCAGCAACAACACAGCTGATAGAGACACATCATTAAAAAAAAAAAATGCGGTTGCACCAGAAATAAATATTTTTTTAAGTATTTATAACATATCACGGCATGACAGTCAGTATACGTGGTGGCGAACAAGAAAAAATAAATAGTATTATAAATTAAATCAATAATTTCTTTTATTTTACGAATTATCTCATTACAACAAAATATAATTATTAGGTAATTAAGTATTCGGTATTCGGCCGAATAGTATGGGCATATTCAGTGTTCGGCCGAATATACCAAAAGCAGCTGAATAGGTCGAATACCGAAAACTAACCGAATATTCGTTGCAAGTCTAATATAAAATAAAATATGCAAAGACATTTTTACAATCTTTATCAGTCCCTAAAGTCTTACCCCTAAAAAGTAGAGAACATTTATAATATTAAAAAAAATAATAGATTATATTAATAAAGAAAAGATTATAAATACATATTATTCTAAGTTTTCGACCATTGTCCACTCGTAGATATTGCTAGACTCGATCAAAAATTATAATAAGTATTTTTGCTATAAATAGTTATTATAATTTTTGATTTAATAAACTCATTGCTTATTTACAGGAAGGAGAAACATAAAGAGGTAATGAAAGAAGTAAATGCTCACATAGCACGTGAGAAAATGAAGGAGCTGGCACCCAAGATTGAAGCACCACCTCCAGTGTCCTATGGACCTGCGCCTCGTCCACAAAAACCTTACGGCTCTTGGACACCTGTCGTTAATGAGTAAGTAATCACGGCCCTAAATTAATCAAATATTTACAGCCCCCTTCAATTAGACAGTTGCCGTGTAGCATGACGAACTCTAGAACGTTTTGTCTGCATTCAATCATCACTAATCTCCGGTCGAGAGTCAGATATCGTATGTACACAATCATACCCGAGAAAGTGACATTTGGGGGTAAACAAAACATTCTCAAATTCGTTATGCCAGGCGTGTTGGTCATTTACAATAATTATGCTGTTTTAAATTGATTACTTGAGACATATATATTAGTATGGATATGACTAGGAAATACTATACTGTATGATAAGGTATTATTTTTGTGCTACTATACTGTAGCATTTGTTTTGGTCATTAGGTTCATTGAATTCAATACTCCAAATCAAAGTCTCATCTGTGTGCTTAGTTTCAGCAATAGTACCATAACTAATAATAAAGGACAATCAAAAATTACCATTGAATTATGTTTTATTTATTAAACTAAATGAAGCATACAAGTAATCTGCGTAGAAGGATAAATTTGCAAATATTGATAAAGCGCGAAAAATGTCGGCCGATCAGAATTATTAAAGTGGCAGATGCTGCTGACTTGCGATTTATGCTGCGATATATTTTACACCTTATTGTTATTGAAATAAAAAATCATCATATATTTTAATCTTACGTTCGGTCACTGTCGGAATTTGTAGATATGTTCTACGCAAATGAATATTTACTCTGCGTCATATTATTTTGGAATTACTATAAATACTTCTAATTTATGTTGAATTGTCTCGTTTTTTTCTATGTTTTATGGCAACGAGAAGCCGGTATTCATACTACCTAAAACGTTCTACCACTTTGCCACTTTTATTTTCTTCTTGCAGGCCCGTTCAGAATATAGACCTTCAATTGCCGAAGACGAAAGAGGTGGAACCGCCGCCAGTCATAATGGAGCCTGAAGTTATACAGTTCAGAGAGAAAACTGTGGAGTCTCTAGGCGACGGACCAGTAGAGTTCAAAAGGCGGAAATTTAATAACTCTCGTCGAAATATGCGCCAAAAACATGATGATGAATAAATGTTTTTTACCAAAAAGGATTTATTTTTATTTAGTCCCCCAGTGGATTCGCCCGCGTGATGCTAGAACTTCCTCTTTCACTCTGTATATTGATAAAACTGCATTAAAATTCGTTGTGTAGATAAAAAAATCTCAGCATACAGACAGCGAGACTCTTTGTTTTATACTATTTAAAGATTGTTAGACGAAAAATATTGACTATAATCATCACTGTGTACAGGCATCAGGCATCACTATTAATCGATTATGTACATCACTATCATCACACTATTAATCGATTCTTCTTCTTTTTAATTAATGGCGTTGCCCTTGTGGATTTCGCTAGAATCCAGTATTACGCTCAATTTGTTACGGGCATCTCAAGTCTATCATTAAGCAGTCACTTGACGTATGATGAGATTCGCCCCAACAAGGCGCCAATATCCAGTAAACAACTGAGTTGTCTATAGGTACCATATTTATCTATACGAATATTGAAAAGAGGTAAGATTTGATTGTTTGTTTATTTTCATCGAATAGGCTCCGAAACTAATGGACCGATTTAAAAAAATATTTTACCTAGATACGGGTAGTTACATCATATGCTGTGAACATAGGCTATATTTTATCCGAAAACTTGTAGTAGTATGTACAGGGAATTAAAACGTTACACTTAATTTGTCATTCTTATTATATCCGTGTCATGATATGAATGGATTTCCAAACAAACAATTCTCTAGGAAACATGCGGGCGAAGCCGTTGGCTGAAAGCTGTTTATTTGCATCGATTAGGCTCCGAAACTACTGGACCAATTTAAAAAAAAGTCGATGGGGTTTTAGCCAGTTCCACGTCTATTAGAATTGTCATTAGTCTAAAGCTACATTACCGATACAAATTTGACATTCATTAGACCTTAAAGGTTTCAGTAAATCTTAATGGACGTTTCTGCAACTGACCGATCATTTATTAAAAAAAAATATCTCATTAGTATTCGCGACTTTTGTTTGTAAAGTAATTTTTGTATCATAAATCACAGTTCCACTTTAAAAATGTTTACATACTTACATATTGTTTACATATTTAATTAATGGTTGGATTTTGGTTATAGTGGCTTTTTCAAGCATATGTAGGCTTGAAAAAGCCGAATTTAGTCAAACAAAGCTATTTCACAAATTTTTACGGTAAAACAAAATTATAAAAACATTAACGCATTCACTGATTAAATCATTGCTAAAACGTTTTCAAGACATTCTTATATATCTATGTGGCTAGAGGAGTTTGCCGTTGGCGGTCGCTCTACAGTAATAAATAAAAACTTTAAGTGTCGTCCTCGTTTTTAAAATACAAAAAATAGGTTTATTTTTAACCGACTTAATAGTATATATACTTTAAATATATTTTGAAGTTCATAAAATGTGTATGAAGCACAAGGTTGGCAATTTTAAACATTTTTTTTAAAAGCCATCATATAAATACCCAGCTCCCATATACTTGTTTAATCTAAATATGTTTGAAACATGTAATAAAGTAATGATTGATGATTTAATAATGATATATGTTTTATTTTATATCTATGTGTTTTATTAAATAAACATAACGTTTTGTATTAAAATATACATGAGTTTTCCCAACCATGATCAAGCATGCCGGATTCTGAATTGAGAAAAGTACAAAATCTCAACTGATTATTCTCAATAACTTAAATATTTTGCGTTTTAAATGGCAAAAGTTATCTTTTAGTTTTATCAAATCGCAATCAACTGATCATAAAAAAAAAATCAGACACAAAAACCTGTTTAAGTGATGTTTAAGATGATTTAAGTACGGTTTGAGACGTGCTTAACTTTAAATTCTAAATTCAGAAACAGGGTGTTTGTGTATTTAAGTACGTAGTACGTTAATAATTCAAAAAACACATCGCATCGATAAATTTACAACAATACCACTATTAAATCCGCTTTGATCTCGTCAGTTTTTACGGTAATCAATCTACCTTGGACCTATTGTGCCGTTCGTGATCCGGGTTCAATATGGAAATGTGGCTCTATTATCGGATAATGCGACATTGTTAACACCTGACTCGGTAGAGGACACCGATTAATTTTTCTAATCACGCCTGGAACCTCAGGAGTGTATATATAAAGTTTGTTACGGGAGCGGTTTTGTCATAACTTGTCGGCTGTCCAGTGCTCGATCTATAAATCTATTTTCGTCTGTGACTTTAAAATCTGAAATGTACAAATTGGTGAGTTGTCTTTTTCTCTTTCGTTATATATCTATAGTTTTTTTTTGTGTCCATAGAGTATCATAAATCCATGTTTTACTTTGGTACACAATAATGAAATTTTAACTATTAATGTTTTGTAGGTATCTATTTGAATATAATTTTTATGTGCATCTAATCCTTAAAAAATATATTTATTTAAATAAGTTATCAATATAAATATTGCATTCCATAAGCGAAAATGTGTAACGAAATAATATCATTTATAGAACGAATTCAATACATTAAATAGGTATATTTTAAACTTGATAATTTTTATTTTATATAGTTCAAGCTTATTAATGTTTTATTTGTTTATATTTCGGAATATATATATATGGTATTTGAGATAATTATTTTTTCTAGAGGTTGTCTGAGTAGTTTACGTATAAGTATAGAAGAATAGCAGTTTCATTGTTTCGGTATATGTAAATAATTTCAGTTTAGTTTATTGTCAAATTAGTAAGGGACAACTTTTTTTATAAATATACATGAAAAACATCAAAAAAGAAATAAACATCAAATCTAAAAATACATTTAATTTTCAAAATTTGGTAATGCATAAGGAAAATTCTCTAACGCTGTTTACAGTCACGTGACAACGAGTATAAAATATTAGTTTTTTTTTCATGATTTATTTCAGCAATAATAAAAAATATAATAGACACAAAAGTGTGATTATCGGTAGATATTAAACACTATACGAAAAAAATGAATTTATTTTAGTTTTCTGTCTACATACCGATTTCTGATTATTTCATAAATCGCCAAAAATAATTTATAATGACACCAATCGTAAAATTTTGATGTGCTTGTTTAGCCATGTAATTTCTAACTAGTCGGACTTGTAAACTTTTTTTTTATATATAAATAAAGATAACTAAAAATATAAACAAGCACGTAAAGAATGGACCTCCGTTTTTTCCAGATGATATTCGTGTTGCTCGCCGCGGTGCTGATTGCATCTGCCACAGCGAAGCCTCAAGTGTTGGTTGACTACGGTTACTACGCCCCAGCATACTATAGTTCTGCCCTCACCTACTCCTACCCTTATGCGTACGCTTATTCCTATCCGTTCTATTATAAATAAAAACTCTTTTTATAAATCTACAGCGAAAAGATGGAATGGAGAACAATGGACTTATGAATAATATTGATCCTAAAATTGTGATTATTGCATTGTTAAGTATTTTCTGTATCGAGATACCAAATGTGATGTTTCTTTGTTGTATATATTCATCATTTACATTGAAATAAACGTTTAATAATATGTACATTTTTGTATTGTTTTATCCTACTTTTGATGATTTTTACTGTTAGGTGCGTGGTAGTAACTACGTAAATTGCCTTAATTCACACATCAAAATCTTTCCCATAATGAGTTTTGATGTCTTGGTATATGCACTGTATGAATACTGGAGTATATATAATAAAGGTTAAAGTATAAAATTGCCGATTAGTACTGAAAATCAAAATTGTTTTTTGTTTTAACAAATTTATTTAATCAAAATAATTACCATTATTATTTATACATTGCTGCCATCTAATAGGAAGGTCATTTATGCGTTTGCGATAGAACTCTGAGGATCTAGACTGCACAAACTGTGTGAAAGCATTTTGTACTGCCTCCTGGGAAGAAAACTAGGAGGATAGGTAGGATGACGAATGCTTTCTAACTGCAGTTCCTGAAGGGTCAAAACGGTTCCTCGTGCTGTATGAGGATTTACGTTGTGGAGCAATAATGCTGAAGATCGATTCATGAGTCGGGGCTGTTTTAGTTTACCAACATAGTTCGGAGTTCGGCATAATATAAATCTTCCGTTATTGCTTGACCTGATCGGAGAAAGCTATAGTGAATAACACCATGCTGAAACCACCACACAGCTACCGTTACCTTTTTATTAGTAAGTTTTTTAGATCACTGTTGTGGCGTTTGACCTGGGGTCAGCCATTGCATTTTTTTTTCCGGTTATCATAAAGAATCCACTATTCATCACATGTCACAATTAGATCCAGTATCACTTCATTTCTGTACCGATTCAACAATGCAACACAAGTTTCAACACGCGTTTCTTTCTGTAGATCAGTCCAATCATGAGGCACCTATTTTTCGTATTTTAATTTTTTATTTTATGGACTTGACGCAAATGAGTCAATATTGTGGGTGAGGACACGTTAAACCATACCGCTAATTCCTGGGTAGTTTGACTAGGATCGGATTCCACCTCTCTTAATTCATCGTTATTCACCTGTGTAGGCGGTCTTCCTTATGGCTTGTTCTTCAAGTCGAAGTTTCCATCACGAAAGCGTTTAAATCAAAATCGCACAGTGCGTTCATTAGCAGACCTCTCTCCAAACGTAACATCGATATCGCGGGCTGTTTCTGCCGCGTTACTTCCGCGTCTGAACTCGTATTCAAAAATCACTCGAATTTTCGCAGTCTCCATCTTTCTTGTCTAAGTTGAGTTGAATAATAATTCATTTTCTATTCCCATCTTTATTTTAGTTCCTGAAAGTAGGACAGACCTTTTCTTAATGCACTTGACAAAAATAGGCTATTAAACTATGAGTTTTTCTGGCTAGACTTATCTCGGAAACATGAAATATGGAAGCATTAACTATCCCGTTATTTAGTTTTAAAAGTGAGGTAACCAATATAAAAATTATAGGTAATCATAAATTATTTAAGTGCTAGAACCCGAACGATGTAACTTTTACCCGACTGTGTAACGCAAAGGAGGGTAATGTGTTTATGAGTATATGTATGTA